AGACATTAATCACTTAAACTAGGATCTGCGACGTCAGATCAAACAACTGTATGTTCTAGTGAATTCTACCTTTAACCTTCTATCTATTAATATCAGTGTTTTCCATACAAACATACATGAACAGAGGTGAATTATAAGTCAGGCCAAACAATGAACAAATCTTGTGAAGGTTACAGAAACAAATTTCGCACGCATCTACTAACTTTAATGTTCCCCTTGGCTGTAGGGTAGGTGACAATGAATTCCAACAGCACCCACCTATGTGTAAACTAAGAACTTCAAAGCTTTTAATTCCCCAAGTTTGGGGGTTCTGCCCTCCCTATGTACCACACATGCCTTCATCAACAGGAAAAAAACAAAAACCAACCAAACAAAAAACACCAGGGCTGTCCTCTTTTTTTTTGTCAAGGCAAACCTTAACATTTCAGAAGGACATATAAAAAAGATTGGGAGACGTAAAGGAGCTTAAGTCACTCGATCATGTGGTTGTGAGCAATACCCACTGCCACCAGTGGAAGCCACACTGTTTTCAGGTTTTTTTATGATCCCCTCAGAGCAACACTCAGTTTGTAAAATTGGTAAAATTTTCTCTCATCTCCTTTCTTCCTCTCACAACCCTTAAGCCTCTTCAGTGGCAGTATCTGTAGAATGCGTAAACTCCATAAGAGCAGAATAAATTCATATTCACTTGCCACACTGCCAGCACCTCACACAAGTGCTTGCTATATGACAGCCAAAAAGCTGTCTGAAATTCCTAGAGGGCTCTGAGTGATCTCTGAAATAGAAAGAGACCTAACACGTTCAAACCATCCTCAAAAACCATCAAAAGATTTTGCTCTCACCACAGTAATACTCTGTGATATAGGGCTAGGAACTCGGGCTTTTCAGCTGGAAGATTTTATATTCAAATTCTAGCTCCAGAAATAATTAGTTACGTGACGCTAGCCAAGGTATTTAACTCTATGAGCCTCAGTTTCACCAATAAAATAATCATTCCTACCTTTCAGGATTGTTATAAGGTTTAAGAACCATGGATGTACCCAGCGCTCAGTAACTTTGTAGAAACTGACACCATCATTGCCACTCAAATTAAAAATTTTAAGTTAATTTAACAGAAGGAAAGAGAAAAACTGTTAGATTTACTTAAATCATTTGCTTAGGGCCAGACTCTATAGATTCAAATGAAGCATCTACAAACTGCTCATTAAAGTGAGACAAGCTCAAGAATAAGAATAAACCCATTTTCCGTGGTGATCATGTCAGTTACTAAGTTCCCAGTCATCTCTCACTGATTCCTATTTTCTCTGCATTAAATACAAGCTTTTGACCAAAAACGTTATAAATAAGTTTAGAAGTATTACAACCACCTAATTTTTATTCCTTCTTCTCACCTATGTCACAGGTTAAGCAAGAGAAAGTCAGAATGCACCAACCCTTCTTCTTGTTATTTGAAAGCAACTCTGGCACTTCTTCCGCACTAGTGGCTGTTACAGTCATCCTCCCAGCTTCTCTAAACAAGCTGATAGTGGTTCACCATCCCCTCCTTGAAACACTCTCCCTGACCTAATTTGTGTGAAATTGTACTCTCATGATTTTTTTTTTTTTTTAAGATTTTTATTGAGGAATTGGAAGAGGAAACAGCGTTGGGGAATCAGGGAAGGGGAACGGACAAGTTGCTGTCCTTTTGTTCTTCAGTCTAGTTGTGGAGGACGTCGCTTCACTGGCCCATGTTGGTATTATCATTGTGCTCTTCCCGGGTGAGGCAGATCGGTCGCCAGCCATTGGACGGCCGCTTACGGTGGCTCACAGCAGTCACTCATGCTGGCTGCCAGCCACTCACCCACTGCAGCCTACGCCAGCAACTCACAGCAGCCCAGCTCCAGGTCGAGGTGTTGTTCAACCATCTTAGCTGTAGAGGGCGCAGCGTCACTGGCTCATGTAGGAACCGAACCGGGGCCCTGCTGCTCAGAGCTCATGTTCTCAAGCCAACGAGCCACTCAGCCAGCCCTGTATTCTCAGGATTTTAACCCTCTACCGAGCCTCCATTTCTCCTCTCTATCATCTCTTGGCTTCATCTGGAAACCTCACCCATTCCCACAGTTTCAACTACAACCTTGTTGGACATTGTATCTATATGCAGTTCTGGCTTCTTAATCAAGCTTTCATTCCTATATTCCAACTATGGATTAGTCAACTCAATCTCTTTAATACCTGAAATTATTTCCAACTGAAATTATTTTTCCTCCCATATGCTTGCTTTTTATATCAGTGGTACACCAATAAGATGTTCTAAACACATGGGCTAGAACCTTGCAATAATATGAGATTTCCCCATCCCTTGCCTTCCATGTCAACAAACTGGTTGTAAAATTATGATTCTTTTTTTTTTTTTATCACTTTCTCCTTTTCATTCTCACTACCACTACCCTAGCTATTCTTTATTACCAAGATTACTGCAATGGCCTCCTAACTGATCTCCCAGCCTCCAGTCTCTAGTCTCTAAACTACGTCTTTACACAGCTATGAGATTAATCTTTCCTTTTTTTTTTTGAGATTAATCTTTTGAGAATACAATTCTAAGGATTTCATTCTTTTGCTAACAAATAATCTCCAAAGTTGCTCCACTGCCTACGGAACAAAGACCAAATTCCTTTACCCGGTATCTAAGTCCTTCATGATCTAGCCCCAATCAACTTACTAATCTTTCCCACTACTCTGTTAAGTACTTGTCTTAACACGTCTTCCAGCCACCTTGGTTTTTTTTCATGATGTTCCCTATGCCTAGAAAGTCCTTCCGTCCCATCATATGTAAATGTCTAAATCCTATTCAGACTTCAAGGTTTGGCTCAAATGTCTTTCCAACCTACCCAGCCAAAAAAATGAAACAAATTTTCTTTAATACATTCCAATTAGAGGTAATCTATTCTACTCCCTCAGTGCACTTTGAATGTAATTTCCTTACCTTCCTGTTCACCCTATAATACATTTATAATTGTCACCTACTAGACTGCAAGCTCTTGAAGAGGGCGGAATCTTAACTCCCAGTACTTTATACTTGTATCAGATACTTAGTTAACTATTTATGGAAGGAGCAAATGGAATTGCACAGAATAACTTAATTATTTTTCCACATGACAGCTTTTCAAATCATTAAAGCCAATTACCATATCCCACCCCCTAACTCTACTCTTCTCCGTACCATGCACTCAGTTCCTTTAACTATTTGTGACTATTCTTGATACCACACTTATTGCTGCTCATTTGGTCTATGAAAACCGGTCCCCAGAACTAATTATAGTATTCTAGGTGTGTTCTAAACAGTGCAAAACAAAGTACTATTCTCTCTCTAGAGCTAGTTCAGGAGTTTTTAACCTGGGACTTGTGGTAGAGGAATTCAGGGCAAGGGGAAATTTTTATGTGTAGATATATTTATACATTTTCTTCTGGGGCGATCTCAAGAGGATAAGAAACCCCCAAAATGTCACCCTCCTCTTATAGTAACACAACTAAGATTACAGTCACTTTCTCTGAGAATCTTAATGAATTTCAGTTAACACTTCTGGGCCTCTTTACCAAGTACCCAAGTCCTATCAAGTTGAGTTTTGGGAGTCTTAGAACAGGATTTTTTCCTCTACTCCTATTAAAGTTCATCTTGTTAGTTTCAGTCCCACTCATCAGCCAACACTTTAAACATTCTTCCGCAAATCTGATAAACATGTCTCACAGTAAGAGCTCTCAAAACCTCTAGATGCTAACATAGATCCCAGACACTCTTATGTAAATCTGCACTTACAGATTCATAATTTCTAACAAATTTCTGTTAGTACACTTTAATCCAGTGCTTCCTTAAAGTCAGCACCTGCTGCGGACACTAAATCCCCTGATAGAAAGTAAACTCAGTAAACCTGGAGAAGCAGTTTTTCAAAAGCCAGTAAACCACAAACTTTGTATTTTTGGTGACCCTGTTTTTATTTCACTGAACTATGCAAGTAATAGCTCTCAAAAGTGGTAAGTGTTTGAGTATAACATCGTGTTCAGTCTGTATCAGGCCGAGTTCAACCTACCTTGTAAGGCCAAAGGAATAGCTTCAATCTGGATCTTGGTGGGCTTCGTCCATCCCAACTGGTCACAAGCTTCACACAACACATCTGTCACACCCTTAGAATTCAGACAAACACACTTTAGCAAAGAACAACACGAACTCACCTCCCTCCTTATTAAATGACTGTCAGAGCAACGCGACTGGTAGCGTGCGAATTCCTTACACTTTGATTCAAACGGTATCTACTGTGCTCCGACTCAGCCTGCTCTTTAACGATGAGTACTATGACAGTAGCTCAAGACTTAACACTTTCTATTCACCAGGGACAAAGCCAAGTTCTTGACACGTGTAATTTTATTTAATCCTCAATTTTATGAGGTAGCTGTCCCCAATTTGCAGATGTGGAAAGTGAGGCACAGAGCGGTAACAACTTGCCTTTAGTGAGGCTGGGCCAGAATTCAGACCTAGTTTAATCTCTCTCTCTCCAAAGCACAAGATATTTAAATTAAAAAACAAAAAGCCGATTCACCGCAAAGACAACCTCCTGGACAGATATGCAAATATCGCCACCCCAAAATGGAGAAAAGCGCAAACGGGCCTCTCAAGGACCGGCTGCCCTCCCACCAGCCAAACTCAGATGCCAAGAGAGCGCGTCCGGAACTCGAGCTTCAGAAACTCCGGGGGAAACCTAAGCTCGGCCCCAGCGGCTTCTGTTCCCCACCAGCTGGGATCTAAGGCAACCGGTCCCTGCCTGCGCCTGGCGCGAGCAGGACAAAGAGAAGCCAGCGTCGTCCCCTCTCACCAGGTCTTTAAATGTTTTAGCTTCCTCTTCCTCCACCGCCGCCGGCTGGGGCGCTTCAGACGGAGAATCGTGCTCCTCGGGCGCCGCCATGTCGTCCACGGGCTCCGGAAGTGGGTCGGCGCCGCGCGGGACGCCGGTAAATGTAGTTGTAGTTCTCCCTAGACGGCGTGTTCTGGGCGCCCCCCTGCGGGCTTGCCGGGCTTTGCACCAGCCGACCGGGAGAGTGGGGCTTCATAGAGACTGTAGTGAAAAAGTGAGGGATGGCTATAAATAAGCATGTGGACTTGTGGAATTGAGTCAAGTGCAGAAGGGGCTGACCAGGGCCTCCAATAGGCCCTTTAGTCCCCTTTTAAAAAGCTTTCCTCACCTCTCACACCCGTTCTGTGCCTCGCTTTTCTAACCATAGTTTTTAACAGGTTGATATCATAGTACTATTTATTATAATTTCATTCATTTATTCAGGTATTTGTTGAGTGCCTACCATATGCTAGGGCTACGCTAGACGTTTAGTGACCAGGACAGCAACCTCTGCTCTCGTGAAGAAGACAGATTATTAATAAGTGACCATAGATCCTTTCAAATTGTGAAAACTGCTGGGATGTAACAGAAGTAAAAATGATGGGAGAGTGACCTGGGGAGGTGGGTTGTAGGGATAATGGCAAGATTGGAGAAGGCCTTTCTAAAGTAGTGATATTTGAGCTGTGACTTCACTGATGAGCAAAAGAAAGTCCCTTCAAGAGCCCAGAGGACAGTTATTTCAGAATGAGTAAACAGCAAATGCAAGGGCCTGAGAGAGTGTAGCCGGTGAGGCTGTTCTGGAAAGCAGTCTGCCACCACCGAGGCAAATTCAGTATGTTGCATGCCCTGTGCCCAGCAAGCAGGTTCCCACATGGTGCCGGGGTGTTCACTGCAGCAGTATCCTGGTGGGGAGATGGAAGCAATCTGTTGTCCATCACAGGGAAATTGGATAGTTAAAATGTGTACATGGTGTGAACAAACATGCCAATAACAATATGGTAATCTCTCAAAAACCTAGGGCTGAGTGAGAAAAGTATAAAATATATCATGTACATTTAAAATATATGCCCATAAGATATCACCTTCTGCTGAAACACACACAAACAGAAAAATGCACTTTAAACATTTTAGAATGGCTGCTTATAGAAGGAGAGGAACTGGAAATTGGGAAACTGAGGATAAAAGATAACACATACACAAAGCAAGAAAGGGCACTTGTGATGATAATGTGCCTTGACCTGAGCATTGTCTACCCAACTCAGTGTGCCTGACTTATCGGGGGATCACTTCATAAGTTATATATAAATGTCTAACCACTATGCTGTATTTCTGAAACTAATATAATATTGAATGTCAACTGTAATTGAAAATATTTTTAAACTAAAAAAAAAATTCAATGTGCCTGAGGGCCTTCCCACCACTACACAAAAAAGGCCCTGATTTAGGAATCATAATGGTGTCTCCAACAACAAAACCAGGTAGGGTGAGGTCAGAGAAGTAGACTCAGCTCAGACCCTGCAGGGCCCTATACTAAAAGATATGGGGTTTGAATATTATTCTAAACACAAAAGGAAGCCACTGGAAGGTTTTGATCAGCTAAGTGACATGATCAAAGTTTTTAGAATATCACTCTCCACCTGAAACTAATAATAATTTTTAAAAATTTAAAAAACACAGGGCCGGTCCAGTGGCTCATTGGTTAAGAGTTGGCTTGGGAGCACAAGCTCTGAGCAGCAGGGCTGCCAGTTCAGATCCCACGTAGGCCAGTGGCGCTGCCCTCTACAGCTAAGATGGTGAACAACAGCTCAGCCTGGAGCTGGGCTGCCATGAGTCACCGGTGACAGCGTAGGCTGCAGTGGGTCTGCAGTGGGCTGCCGTAAGCTACCGTGAGTGGCCGTCCAATGGCCGGCAACCGATCTGCCTCAGCCGGGAAGAGCGCAATGATCACAATACCAGCATGGGCCAGCGAAGCGACGTCCTCCACAACTAGACTGAAGAACAAAAGGACAGCAACTTGTCTGCTCCCCTTCCCCAATTCCCTAACACTGTTCCCTCCCCCAACTCCCCCAATAAAATCTTTAAAAAAAAAATTTTTTTAAACAAAAAATGAAAAAAATATATATATCACTCTCTCTGTGGAGACAGATTGTAGAGAGGAAAGAATGAAAAGCAGAGACCATCCAAGAGTCAAGAGATGGCCTTTATGCCCCCAGCTCTAAGCACACAGCCTGACACAAAAATGGGTGCCCAATAAATGCTTCCTGGATGAATTACAACTAAGCCAAGTGTTGGGACCAAGAATGATGACAGCCCAGGAAGAACTTCCCTGGTTGTTTCTTTAGAGAGTGAAGTTGTTTCCATTTTTAAGATTACACCTCCTGCAGAATAGGCTGGGGCCTTTGGTCTTTTTACATCAGGCTACTCCAAGTAAAAGAAAAGGAGAGAAGACACACTGTGTAAATGAAGAGGTCACCTTGGCATTGACTTCATCAGGCAGTCACTAGCACATGCAGTCTAAGGCTCCCTGGCTTTCTGTTTAGCTGTCCCTCATGGCTACCCTCTCTGTTTTACCAGAAATGGGAATTTTGCCACTTTAGAGGATGTCCAAAGTAGATAATAGGCTTTGAAATAAGAAGTTGACTTATCCCAAAGAAAGTCTATCCGACCAGCTCTGGCCCTTCCTCTTCCAGTCCTGTGCTTTGGAGACCTGCTGGGAAACTTGTGTTCCTTGTTTGACAAATGAGGAACTCGAGTCCCAGAGGGTCAAGAGACGTGTCACACAGCAAAGTCACGGAGACAAAAATAGAATCCAAGCCTCTCGAGGCTCAGAGCGATGCTTTCATTGAAGAAAACATCGTTTTACATGATGACAAGCAGCTTTCTCCTGTACAGCCACACTCACAATTCCTCTGCCACACCGATTTTTCTGTAAAAACAGAGAAGTAGCTAAAGTATTTATTTTGCTTCCCTTAGACTCATTTGTCTGATTTCATCTAGGAGAGTGGAATGGGAAATGAAAAGTGCTGAGAGAAGGTGAAAGACATGACTGAGGAGTGAGAGGAAGCAGAGCAAAGAGGCCTGAAACCCAGACCCAGGAGGAAACAATTGGAAGGACTATAAAACTGTAGGTGATATAAGGTCTAAAGTTACCCAAATTTTGTTATAATGTGTTACAGGAAAGAAAAAAAAATCACACTTAAGATTTCTGAGGGCCTGGTGCTGCTCTAAGGAGAAATGGATTTAAATCACTCAACGGCTATTATAGTATAAAACTCTGTCCATTTTAGTCAAGCAAACATCTTTTCTGTTTGTTCTTGGATAATTCAGACATCAGCTATTTTTAAAACGTCCTCTGGTGCCAGAGCCCCTGAGGCGCCACTGGACGCCAAGAGGATGTGGCAATGACGGCCGCAGCAGTGTCCCTCCATTCCTTGGTCCAGGGCGCCGGCAAGGTTTGGGCCTTAACCAATGCCACCTCGGTGAAGGGATTCATGTCAGACTGACAGGGGGACCACAGGTGGATTCCAAAGAGAAAAGCCTGCATCAGCGAAGAGGATTGTCTGTTTTTGACTATTTCTACCAGATTTGGAGTAGTTTGGATATTTATATTCTGGTCATGGAAAGAATAAGAGTTCCATTCTAGTAACTGAGCCATGTCATATCCTGTACTTTCAGAACAATGAGGAAGGTTAGAGAGGAAATCCAAATAAACACTCAAGTGGGGAAGAAAAGCAAGCCTGAAACTATATACTGGCACCAGAAGGAGAGGTCAAAGTGTCTGACCCCACCTGACTCTGAAAGGTTTTCACACGCCCTAGGCACTTCTGCTTTCATGGGCCCCTTCCCCCACCAAAAAAAATATGAAAAATTATAGTTTACAGCTGCATCAGTAGACACACAAATATACTAACATTATATCTTAAGACATTTTCTTTGACTTAAAAGCTCATTTTTTTTTCTTTTGGTTTTAAAAGCAATTAAAACCTTTCTTGTGGGCCTCTAGACGTATGGTGGGCTCTAGGCACTGCGGCTGCCTTCCCTGGTGGGTAAGGGAAAGGCATGAGGACCTTGGTGACGCTTTCAACAGGCCAGTGACAGCGCTCTGCTGGGGGGTGAGAGCATGTTAGGATAAGCGCGCCCTTGAACTAAAAATAAAATGAGCCTCCACGCTTAGGGACTAGAGTTCTGTGAAGGGCTCAAACCAGACTCAGTTATCAATCAGCTTCTGCTCAAAACCCTCCCAGCAATCGCACACCCTCCGGTCTGTTTTGGGGAACATTCACTTATAACGAAGCGCTCTATAGTCATCAAGAAAGAACCAATGCAAATTTTAGTCACCCAGACAACTATCTTTAACTTATGAATTATAATCTGTTATGACTATGTATGTTCTAGTGACAATAGGACATAGAGGATGTAATAATGAGGCAGAGAGAAGAGGACCATCTACATGGAACCTAGAAAAAAGAGAGTTGACTGACAAATTAACTTAGTTATCCCAATTTGTGTCTAGGGAAAAAAGATAACTCCTCCTGGTTATTTACTGGTTTCTTTTCTTTTTCTTTTTCCGTTTAGTTTAAAAGTTTTCTTAAAATATAGAAAACCTGTATCTGTTTCTTTTCTTATTCAACAAACTCTCAGACACTGTGACAGACCAACAGCCAGACATTAGGATCCCGAAATAAGCATGAAACCTATGCTCCAGTGGGGAGGCAGCCTATTTTAAAAATAATAATAATAAATAAATCCCCACAATCAAGTGGGACAGACCCCAAAAAAAGTACTCACAAGTGAGATGAGTGGTACCAAAGAGGAAAGCAAGATGCTAGAACAATGTGTAATGGGGTGCCCTAACCTTGCTCTGTGAATTGTGGACATTTTCCTTGTGGAAGTGACTTCAACACTGAGGCCTGAAAGATGAACAGCTCCTATTAGCTATGTGGGGAGTAGGGAGTGGTTTACAGACAGAAAAAGCCTTCCAGATTAGGCTTTGCAGTGGAAAAAGTCAAATGGAGCTCAACAGAGATTATAAAGCTGCAGGTATAGGTAGAGACCTGAATAATTAGGACCAGGATGGACATCACCTCATAGGCAGTGGTTAGGAGCAGCTCAGTGTGGCTGTAAAGCCAACTTCTCTACCATACCTGCCGGAAGTCCTTGATTCGCTACCATCCTGGGATCTTTAGGATAACAGATCTTTATGTCCAATACCTAAAAAAGTCTGGTGCCTCAGACTGAGAATTACAGTGAAGAGGACAAAGATGTTCTTAAGATATAAATAAGATATGTAAGGAATGGATTTAACCTGAAGTCAACAACAAGCAGGAAATTCAAATGTTATAAACCTTACACAGAAAACTGCAAAGACTAGTGTCTCAAGGTCACTTCATACTAAGGAATGGTAGCTTTGACACATTTCCTGGTTTCCTGGTTGTTTTATATTCCTTTCACATGAGTGGTTTTTTGTTTTGTTTTGTTTTTTTAATTTTATTGGGGAACAGTGTGTTTTTCCAGGACCCATCAGCTCCAAGTCAAGTAGTTGTCTTCAATCTAGTTGTGGAGGGCGCAGCTCCTTGGCCCATATGGGAATCGAACCGGCAACCTCACCAGCGCTCTCACCACCTGAGCTAGCCGGCCACCCTGTTTTTATTTATTTTTTAATGCATACACTTAAAAAATAAATTATTAGAAATGGAGATGTTTATATACAATTCCTTGGCAATCCAGGTACTATTGTCACTGTGAAGTGTAAGTATAATGCACAGCAGCTTCCAACCACACTTTCATATAGAAGCATGTGATTTTAAATATAAAGAGTTTCATGCCAAAATGTTTGAAATAAACAAATAAAATATTAACTGCTATCCTGGGCATTTCTCATTCTTGGTGATAGCCCAACATCTTCTGAACAGTTTTGTTTGTTCAGAATGATTGGCGAAGTTCTTCCAGGTACAAATCCTTCTTCTTAAGTAAAAACCAGAAGCTCACTCTCCCACCCTCCCGGTGGTCTACCTTCATAATATATCCAGAATCTAACTACATTTCTCCACTCTCAGCTACCAACATCTCTCAGCTACCAACATCTCTCACCTGGATTTACTGCAATAGCCTCTTCATTAGTCTTCTTGCCTCACTCTTACCTCTCAGCAGCATAGCTGCCAAGAGATCCTTTTAAAACAGAAGTCTGATCAGATCCTTCCTCTGCTCAAAACCTTCAATAACTTTCCATCTAACTCAGAGTCAAAGTCAAAGTCCTTACAACAGTCTATACAACTCTACATGTTCAGGCCCCCACGCCTTCTGAGCTCATCTCCCACCACACTCCCCCTCACCCACTCCACTCCACTCCATCCAGGCTGGCCTCACTGTTTCTTCAACATATTGGACATGCTTCTGCCTCAGAGCCTTGTTCTTTCTGTTTCCTCTGCCTGGCATGCTTTTTCCTCAGATACCCTCATGGCTCCCTCCCACACCAACTTCAGGTCTTCACTCAAATGTCACCTTGTCACTGAGGCCTTGCAACCCCTCCCCGACAGCACCCCCTCCCATCCCTGCTTTGTTTTTCTCCATGGCACGTGTGTAGTAAGCAAAATACTGGCCCCTGAAGATGTGCACATCCGAGTCGCCAGAATCTGTGAACATGTCATATTCCATGGCAACGGAGAATTGGGTTGCAGATGGAATTAAGGTTGCTGATCAACTGACCTTAAAATGGGGAAACTATCTTGGGTTGTCTGGATGGGCTTGATATAATCACAAGCGTCAGGAAAACTGAAAGAAAAGGCAGAAGAGGAGATCAGAGTGATGCAATGAACGAAGCACTCAACCCGTCACTGAAGGCTTTGAAGGGAGAGGGAGGGGTCATGTGCCAAAGAACACAGCAGCCTTTAGCAGGTGGAAAAGGCAAGAGAACAGATTCTCCCCCAGAGCCTCCAGAAAGGAGCACAGCCCTGACAACTACTTTATTCCATCCCAGTGAGATCAGCGTCAGAGTTCTGACTTTAAGACAATAAATGTGTGTTGTTTTAAGCCACTAAGTTGGCGGTAATATGTTACAGCAGCAATAGGAAACAAACACACATCATCTCACAAACTAGCTATTTACTTCTTTTTCATGTCTGCGTTCCCTGTCATCACTAGAATACAAACTCCATGACAGCAGAGCTATTTGACCGTTTTGTTCACCACTGTATGTTCAGTGCCTAGAAATATACTTAACATATAGTAGGTACTCAATAAATATTTTGTTGAATGAATGAATATCTGTGAGTGTGTAGATGTGTAGTGTGTTTGTGAGGGGATGAAGAAAGGAGAGATGAAGCAGCAGGTCTTACGCTTGTGTGTAAAGAAAGTAGTCAACTAAACTGAGTTTCTGGAGACAGGTTATTACCCTGGGCCAAGTTTGCTCAACCCTGGCATGGACAGAAGAAGCCCAACAGCTTTCAATATATAAGTCAGGGACGTGGGGACAAGGGCCAACTTGACTGTAGTATGCAAAATAAATCTCTCTCTTAATAGCTTCTGTACACCAAAGGAAATGGTGTCCTCCCATTCTATTCTGAAAAGTAAATGTAAATTACCAACTTCATGAGAGAGGTTATAGAACTGGTCATCCTGGAGAGGTGGGAAATGGTACCGCAGATCACTCTGAAGTCTTCCCCTCCTGAGATACCACCCCTGACAAAGGAGATTACTCTGGGGAGGAAAGCTTTCAGAGGTCAGGAAGTTCATTGTCAGCATCACAGATTTATGACTCAGCCACCAAACCCAACAGCTTTGGCAAGGAAGTTAGCGCTGACCTAGGGCTGGGCGTGTGTTTTTTATGCCAAGCCCACACGTTTAAGAGGTGGTGAGCCTCATAAGTGGAGGTGAGACATCAGGTTCAATACAGAGCCCCCTTTTCTCTCTGCTCCTGTTTCTCGCCATTAAAGGTCCTGCCAACAGGTTGTTGTGATGATGTACAATGGTCTCATTTCCCTCTCCCAGCCACTCTGAATCGCTAGGCCTGCGATTTCGTGGAGGATACCTACCCAGGGATGGCCTGGTCTTGCCTTTTGGGGCTGCTCTCCCTCAGCTTTCCACCTCTCTCCCCCTCCTAAGGCTTTCCCCCCCACATTCACCCTTGGACATTTTCTTCCTGAATCAGCCCTTTTTGTAAAATTTCTAAACTACCTCATTACTTTTTCATTAAAACCACGGAATTAAATTCATCTTAGCCTTTCACAATATCACCCATCATAATACACTGTTAAAATACCGCAAACACCGCAGGAACTCAGCACTTCTCTGGGGTGTGTCCTCAAACTCACAGTCCAATTTTAGGTAAGGTACACATTCCATTAGATTGGAATACGGGGAAATCTGCGATTTATGTAAATGAATCAATGATTGGAGTACAACGTGAATTTCAGCAGAAAGAACCTGGAATCAGGAAAACCAGCTTGATGGTTGTTGCAGGTATTAGGGAATTAAAGCCTAGATGAGTTGTGGTAGCTGTGGAATGGATCAAAATGCCTGGGAAAGACATTTAATGGAAAGGGTATCTACCTTGGCAAAGTTTTATCAGAGAAATAAAGAACGGAAAGATTTGGAGATGACGAAGAGATTTCAAGGTAGGCAACTGGGACATTGATATTGCCTTGATCGAGGCAGACAGGTTCTGAAACTGGGCCAGTTTTGCAGAGAAGCACACATTTAGCTTTAGATGTGCTGGGAAGCAATGCCAGTATATCCAGGAGGATAAAGAGTGCTTGTTTATCTGTCCAGTCATTCAATGCTTACGGAACATCTCCTGTGGTGGAAGCTGGAAAGACACCATGGGGAGGCTTAATGATAACTGAGATATTGTTTCTGTCCTTAAGGGCCTTGGGGTAGGCACAAACATCTCTAATAAAAGATATCATGTGATAAGCTTGTGTAAGAGACACAAGCAGATTGCTCTTAGACATTCGGATAAGAGCAAAATCCCATCTGGCTGAAATCAAGTGTAGTGCTAAGGGCAGCACTACACTTGAGGGGATAGGGGTAGGAGGAACACAGCTAGGACGTTTTTGTACAGGCTTCCTGCAACCTGCTTTACTCAGTCAGTGATCTTCACCTATGTTTTCATCTCATCTACAACCCAACAAACTCAAATTTACCTGAGAGAATCCTTTAGAGCTGGTCTCATCCATACCAACATCCAACCCAGGACTGCCGAGATACTGGGGATGGAGAAGACGGACTCACTGAAGGACTATATGAAAGTGAGAGGAAAACCCCCTGGGTCTGAGGCTCAGGGAATACCTGAAGTTTAGGAATGGAGGAGAAAGAAGAGCTATTAAGAGAGACAAATAAGAAGGGCTGAGGTCACAGAATTCAAGAGAGAAAAGTGTTTTCAGAATTGGGGAGTCAACAATGTCAAATGCGGGCCGGCTGAGTGGCGCATTGGTTAAGAGCTGGTTTGGGACGCCAGAGGGCCCCAGTTTGGATCCCACATAGGAGGGCCAGTGACACTGCCCTCCACAGCTAAGATGCTGAACAACAGCTCAACCTGGAGCTGGGCTGTCATGAGTCGCTGGCGCCGGGGTAGGCTGCAGCCCCTGTGGCAGTGGGTTGCTGTGGGCTACCGTATGTAGCCAGCAGCCAGTGTGAGCAGCCAGCAGCCGCCATGAGAGGCCGTCCAGAAGCCGTCGACTGATCTGCCTCACCCAGGAAGAGTGCAATGATGGTGCCAACTTGGGCCAGTGAAGCAACATCCTCCACAACTAGACTGAAGAACAAATGGATAGCAACTTGTCTGTTCCCCTTCCCCCATTCCCCAATAAAATCTTAAAAAAACAAACAAACATAAAACAAACAAAAGAAACAATGTCAAATGCTACAGAGAAGTTAGAAAGAGTCAGAATCCAACGATTCCTCGTGTTAAGTATGCAAAAGCTCAGGGGACAATGTTAAAAACAACTCATCCACAGACAAAGCATTATTATTCTGAATAGTTTCGTGACACCTAACGTCTTACTCCTACTCACGCCTGTCTCCTCACCTACACATCTCAAGCAGTTTTAGTCCACAGCGATCATACTGAAATGGAGCACACACCCCTAACAGGAAGAAAACTGAAGAGCAGGTTCAGTGGTACTTTCGATGGAATGGCCCTAAGAAGTTTCATTTTCAGAGGTTTTTATACAAGATCTGGAAAAGCCTGTTGAGCCGGTAATTCCTTTATTCATGCTGTGCCGTTTCTGTCAATACCTTCAGTCCTAGCACATCAACAGTTAACAAACAGTTCTAATTTGTCGTGTCTTTGTTCACAAGAATCTTGCCATGTTTAGGGCATCTGGGCAGCATTACAAAACATCGGTGCACAAGTGTTTATGATCAAAGCTGAAGTTTGATTGTTTTCAAATCGCACCCACATTGTTTTTATGCAAATACTAGCCATTTGCAAAACTACATTTTAATTTCTTATTGGTTAACCTACTGGCATAAGATTACCCTACCTAGGTGACTAGATTGTTAGTGCCATAAGATCTGAACCCTGTCTGCATTGCTCACAAATGACAGTAGGTGATACAAGGTGAGTGAGCACTCAATAAGTGTTTTCTGGATGCGTGAATGAATGGATAAATGAATTTCTCAGTTTGTCATTAATGCCGTCACTTTCATGAGCTATTCTTTTACATTCGAAAATACTTACTCTCACAAGAGCTAAGAGCATAACTCTGAGAGCCGGCTGCCAGGATTCAAATCCTGGGGCAGCTCTTGCTAGCTGTGTGATCTTTCAGTACCTTATTTTCTTTATCTAACAATATGGAGTAATTATAGGGTCCCACTTATAAGATTTGTGTAAATGTGATAATACATGTGAAATTGTACTTAGTATAGTATTTAGTAAGTTTTGTAAATGTTAACTATTATTATTATCATTAAATAGCCACATTTATTTTCTATGTTCATTTAAACGTCATTTTATTTAGGCATTGTTCTTCAATGATATTTTGACAGTGCAGTTTTAATAACAAGGTGAGGGCAGAACAGATGTCTTCATATCAACCATGAAGCCTGGAAAAGGAAATTTTTAGCCTAAAAGAAAGGTTTTAGATATCACTGTCTTTCCCCAACTCCACCTATACAAAAAGCTTCTCCTAATTACAGCTATGTTGGTAAACTTGGCAACAGTATCCACACAAATGCTGGAACAGGCCATGCTATGACTGTTCCTGTGTGTTTGGGAGACAGAGGTCTAGGCTGTGACTCATTGCTGAAGTTCTGGGCAAGCCAGATAGCAGGGCTGCCTGCACTCCCACCACTGGTATTACAGTGGAAATAAAAATGGGATTAAACCTCATTCCCTGCAGGTGCAGCTTTCTATAGACAAGCCATACCTGTGCAGTTAAGACCACATTGGAAAACCTTGTTTCTACAAATCTAATGCTAATACCAGTCAGGATCAGCGGTGCTGAAGGTCCCTCAAGTTCCTTCCTGGCCCCTAGAGGGGCCTGGCTTCATCAGTACAATTTCCCCTCTCCTAACAACTCTCTGGTTGCTAAGCAATTATTTCCAGGTCTTAAGGCTCACTCTTTGTCCTATTCCAGACCACAGCAGGGTTTACTTTCTTAGGAGTTTGCCAGGAGCAGAAAGTAACATCCTAAACTCCTGTCAACTCAACAAGGAGAGATTGATTGCAATTCACTAAAAGGACACTTGTTATGACAGGAATACATATGCTTCAGCAAAAAATAGGATCCCAGGTTGTGGCTGGCCTTTGCAAACAGTCAAGGTCCTGCCAA